TAGAAGATCATGGTGTCGCTGGCTGGTAAGCACCATGGTAACGAAGCACTCGAGAAGCTATACGGCGAGAGCGCAATCGGGCAAGTATCGAAGCTCCCCGGTAGCAACCTGCGCGTAAAATTGAAAGCTAAAAAAGCCTGCTTGAAGCTGGAGCGCACGAAGATCAACATCCTTGGTGGTTTATTCGTGTTCAAGGAGTTCGACGTACTTGGTGGCAAGTCCTTCATCGATATTGCGAATGTCGACTCGAACACCAACACGGACGTGATCCCGGACCGTTTGTTCTTGTTGAGATACAAGCCGGTGCACGATACGTTCCGCGAAGTCAACCTTGTGACGAGAATCACTTCTGCCACCTGGCGCCTCTACTTCCTCACCAGCACATGTCCAAGCGCGCTAATGGTGAATGGATTGGTGTGCGACCAGAACCTTTTCGACAACAAGTTGCATCCGGCGCATGGCAAGAATGCTTCGTTCCAGTCGGAACGTCTGTCATTCGGCTACCGCTCGCACCATGGCATCGACCTTGGGACGACCGACGATGATTTTCCTCGCCCAGCGTGTCCCAGTGATTCTGCTTCACAGCCGCAGCAGCAAAACAGCAATCGTCTCCGAACTCGTACGCGCGAGCTACAAAAGTTCCGCCGAAGCAAACCTCGCTCCAGAAGGCTGTCGCGGAATCTAAGAAACATGATAGTCAGCTCCTGAGCGGAGCTCAGCATGGTCAGCAAACTGCTGCCAACCAATTTGCGAAACGTCCAAGCACCGGGACGATGCACTGTCGATCTCAACCTTTAACGACTCGACCGGCAAAATTTCTCCTCCTGGAAGTCCGACGACAAAGACTCCGCCAACGCTGCTCTTGAGCGATGGCTTCACCACCGTCACGAACAACAAGAGGAACCGCGGTCGCAGCGGAATCGACATCTCTGCTCTTTTAGTGAAGCGGTAACTGATGCCACTAGATGACATCGCAACCGAGAATTATTTACATGCGCTCCAGTCGATGGAGGTATCGTTCGAATCGATGGACGTGACAGCCGACAAGAAGTACGGGTTCGTCGTCAGATTATCCCCGTGAATGTGAAGCGTCCTGACGCTGTGAAGACATTGAATG